ATATAGCAGATGGGATGCTTGACTCTTATTTATGTTGGATGCTTGTAAAGCATGTTCTCCTCTATCTTTTAATGTTGGCATGTACACACAGATGTGGGTGGTCCTTTGCAGGATGAGAAAGGTCCTGGAGAGAATTGTTATCTGACTTTTAGAGAACCCCTCAAGTTACAAATGTAGGGGCAGGTTTGCCTCTGCCTGAGGTCTTGCAAGTGATTTCAGTGGGGTCACAACTGTATCTCTACTGTCAAAAAGTCTGAAGTGTAAACAGACCAAATTCTGTCTTTAGGAATAAACCTTTTACACCTTTTAAACTGAAGAAGGAAAACATGGAATGATCCTGCATTCAACCTGATTAAAAAAAACATAAAATGAAAGCAGTGTTTTTCTTTTGTTTTGGTTTTCCAGTTCCATGAGTTTTTCTCTTCCTTTTTTTTCCCCTCTTCCTTTTTGTTTGTTTGTTTGTTTTGTTTTGTTTGTTTTTCTTGTTGTTGTTGGGAGGAACGGTATTATTTTGATTTCGTTTATTTTTATTGAAAATAGGAGCGGTAGAAAACTCAGACCCAGCATTTGGACTGTTATTTAGTACATTTAACACTTGGAAAGAGTTAGAAAAATGAGAGACTCTGAATGAATTAAAAACCAAAAAACCAAAAAACCACAAACCCAGCCCCAACCTCCAAAAGAACTCATAGGCTGAGGAAGGGACTCCAGGGAAGGTTTAGAATTTAAATGTTGAGAAAATCTCATTTTCTGAACTCACTCCTAGAAACATCAGCAAATGACAACCACCAAAAATAGGGGGACACCAAATGCCTTGAAAACACACAAGCATCTTCATCACTTTTGCCTCATTCCAAAATGTCTTGAGAATGGGGCAGGGGATAATACATTATCCTCTTAAGCCTTCATTTCACTGCACTTTCAAATACACCAGTGTCATGGAAAAGAAAATCAAGTGAATAAATGTTGCAATTTATATATATTTGAATAGATAACAAGAACAATTTTACTGTTTGCCATAAATGAAAACCCCACCAAATCATTCCTCTAATTGAGGTTCTGAAACTCTGTTTATGGCTGCAAAGTGATTTGATACAAAAAAATTACACATTTTGAGTTATTATATCACCCAGAAATTTGATGCCACTTAACTATGTAATTTTCAGAAATGATATAAAACCACTGCAGAAAAATATTCAGGGAAGCCCAAAAGACCTCTTTTTATCTGTTTTTATGGGTCTAAAATGAGAACTCGCAGAGATCCTTGCACTGTATGTGAAGGCTGAACTGCCACCTCGGGAGCTTTATTAATATGTATGTAAATATGATCTGGTTAGATCCTGTGTTTCCGTGCCGTTTCACAAGGTGGAGCGGCTAACTAAGCTGAACAGATCAACGCCTTGTGTTTATTTTCTTTTTTTTTTTTTCCCTCCCAAGCAGCAACATTTTAAGATTCAAAGAGAATGAGGACAGCAGCCTCATTTATGTCAAGATTGTCTCCAACCTCCTTCCTTCCTTCCTTCCTTCCTTCCTTCCCTCTCTTCTCTCTCCCCCTGTCCACCTCCCAGCCACCCCCCAACACCCAGACCTGTATTAAAAGCAATTTACTTCTAACTTAGCATAAGCTTTATCATTAAAGACTGGGAAGAAACCAAAATTACATCACACAGAATCTTCAGCTCCAGTTTTTCTTCCACTGAAAAGTTATTTGACCAAATGGGGAGAAAGTGGAAATGCATTCAAAATGGGTCGAAGTGACACATCAAGCTTATCCTCCATGAGGATATCGGGACTTCCTCTTTACATTGAAGCCACTGTTATTTATGTATCTATATCCGTGCCAAATTTTAGCTAAAGACATTGCACGGTTGAAAAAAAAAAAAAAAAAAGGAAGAAAAGAAAGAGAAACTCAGAAGCTGAGCATGTGTGTGCTGAGAGTTCTTGACTCAGCATGCCTTGTTGCATATAGGATAAAATGGAATATTTGAATCAGATGAGCTTGTTTTTCCCTATGATAAGGATGGTATTTCTAGATGAGAACTCCTCAAATCCCTTGTATACTATGAAGAAAGAAAAGATTATCTTAACACAAGATATTTTGTGCAAGAGAGTGCTTTCTCCTCCCTAAGTGAAAACAAGGGACCATAGTACTTCTAAAGCTAGCGAAAAGCTTGTTTTCTTCTTGCAGGTTATGCTCCGTTTTCCCTGGGCTTTTTTGTCTTGCTTTTGGTGATACTGTTGTAGGGGGTTTATGTGTTTTGTTGTTGTCGTGGGGAGCTGCGGCCCCAAGTTTGCAGGCCAGTGGCGGAGGCCGGAGCTGAGCCGCAGCCCCAGGACAGCGCAGTGGGGCCCTGGGGGGCTCAGGCCCCTTTCCCGGCGGCGGGCGCTCAGCACGGCCGCGCAGACCGGGACAAAGCGGGGCGATGCCGAGGCCGTCGCCGCCGCCCGGGCAGTCCCCGGGGACCCCGGTCCTTCTCGCGGGGCTGCTGCGGCGGGTGGGGGAGAGACAGAAGCGCGGGGCCAGCTGCAGATGGAGGCAGGTCGAGGGATAGGTCAAGGTTAGAAAGAGCCTGCTATTGATCTGGCTTTGAACGCGAGACAGGGAGAGCAGAGAGACTAAAGGGGGAGCTGTGAGACAAGACATTAACAGCTTTCAGTGCTAATGATCACAAGTGCCAGACAGGGGAGGAAAGAGAAGACTGAGAAATCACTTTGGAATTTTTTTTTTCCTCTATTGGGATGTATTTTCGGAGGAGGAGGAGGAGGAGGCAGGCTGGGGGATCAACCTCCGAAGTCCTGCCCGCAGCTGGAGGGGCGGGAGAGGGCTGCTGAGGCCCCGCCGCCCCGAACAGCCGGGGCGTCCGCCTGGTCAATCATTGCTGGCCCTTATCTCCCGCTCTCGGTGCCCACTGGAAGACACTAGTTAATCAACAGATGATGCCCAGTAACTTCCCGATAAGCCGTGCTCCGAAGGGGTGCAGCTTCCTGCAGTTCTCCGAAGAAGGGCCGCGGCCGCCGGCGGCCGGACTTTGCCCCCCACAACACCCCCGTGCCCGTGGCCTGGGGACGGGCCGCGCCGAGCACGGCAGCACAGTCACACAAAGCCTCTCGGCCTCCGCAGGCGGGAGCAGAGCGGGATCAAAGCGGGGACAGCAGTGCGGGCAACCCCATCCCGCCGCTCCGCTCGGGCCCCTTCACCGCGGGCGCGGAGGCCGGCCAGGGGAGCGCCTTCCCTCCCTCCTTTATCCCCCCCCGCATCCCTTCCCCCGGCTCGAAAAAGGCTGCCCCGCATGGCAGGACCGGGGGGCTCCCCCTCGGGGCCCTGTCCCTCCCCGCCAGGCCTGGGGGGGCCCTGCTATCACCACGGTCATTTTGCTTTGCAGGACCGCGCAGAGCAAACCAAACACACACGGCGAACAATCGCCGCGGATTAAGCGCCGTTAAAGGTCTTGTACGTGTTTGCCGAGCGTTGGCAGAGGCGGAGGGCCGAGCCCGGGCAGCGCAGGGCAGTGCCAGGCTGGCCCGGCGCCCACCGCCCGGCCGTGGCTGGGGGTCCCGGCTGCCCTGGGCTCTTCCCGGGCCGGGCTCCGGGGGGCCGGGGTCTGGTAGTGCCGGAACGCGGGCTGTGAGCGGGCGGGCGGGCGTGGGGAGGGAGAGGCAGATTTGCCGGAGGAGGCGAGAGCGATGCTGTTTAGCCAAATTCTTCTCAAAGCTGATTAAGGGCACCGAGATGAATTCTGGTCCCCTCAAGGCTCTCATGCGATTTAATAAAATAAAATAAAATAAAATAAAGTAAAATACTCATTTAACGTGGAAAGTAAATGACACGAGTGCAACGCGGCTCTCCGAGCGGGCTCCGGGTACAGGGTGGTTTCTTGGGTTTCTGCTCCATCTGCCTCCGAGCCCCCAGGCCTCTCCTCTCCGACCCTTCCCCTCGCCCTGGCCAAACCTGGTGCTGAAAAGCTGTTTGCACCGAACTATTTACTTATCGGTGGAAGAGGAGGAGAGGGGAGAGAGAGAAACAATCGCAGGAGATGGGCTGGGAGAGAAGGAAAAGTTGGTTTCCAAGAATCTTCCAAGTTAGAAGCGCACGCAGTTATGGGCATTTACCTGCGTGTGAAACAGGAGGACAAGTGCACTGGGATGCGGTTCCTAGGAACTCGGCGTCTCTCCATTCGTGGCTGAGACTAAAGTCTTCCGAGAAAAAATACTCTCTGCCAGGATTTTAAGGGAAGGGGGGTGGGAGAAGAAGGTCGGAGCGTGTGTGCGTGTGCGGATCGGGTGTGCGCGCGTGTCCCGCTACCATCGCGCTTCGGGTAGGGAGAGAGGAGGGGGAAAAAAATCCCTCTCCCCAACCCACACAGATATTTGTGTTGTTGTAAAACTGTTCGAAAGAAATGCAGGGGGAACGCGCTCGCCGCCGAGGAGCTGCGGCGGCGCCTGGAGGGAAGGAAGAGCAGCCCGCGACCCCTGGGGAGCCTCCGCTCCCTGGACACGGGGAAGGCGGGAGCACGATCCGGAGTCGAGCCTGGGCGGCGGAGAGCGACGGCCGCGATGGGTAACGGCGAGGCGGCGGCACCGGCACAGGCGGCACCGCCGCCCCCCGCCCGCGCCCCCCGCGAACCCCGGCGGCTGCCCCCGCCTGAGCCGCCCCCGCTACGGCCGGCGCCGGGCTTGGGGAAGTTTGGCCGTGCGTGAGGATGCAGATTTGTTCCTTCCCCCCGCTCTTTTCCTAGCCGCGGGCACTCCGCGCATTGAAAGCGGCGCTGCACAAAGCCCGGAGCGGCGGAGAGCCCTGCGTGTGCCGTAGTTGGTGTGTGTGCGGTGTGTGTGCGTGTGCGGTGTGTGCGGTGTGTGCGAGTGGCGTTTCTTGTTCTCTTGCAGGGTACAATGTTAAAAAGCCACCGCTAGTCGCCCCCAGTGCTCCTACTCTCTGGGTCTTTTTGTCTCTAGTGCAGATTAAACGTCACGTCCGCACTTGAACTTGAATTTTATCCCATTGTACAGAGGCAGCCCCAGCCATAGAGAGACAGAGCGCTCCCAGAGAACCAGGACTCCGCCATCTTCACATTGCAATATATAATAGTAATAGCCAGCACCAGCCCAGCTGCACTGGGGGCTTCCTTCCTTCCAGTCCCAGTGCCAGGCGAGGGGGGAAGAGTGCAAAGTGGTGCAGGAGCACTGGCAATCCAAAAGCACCAGGGCAAAGCAGTGCCACTTGAACTGGGAAAGAGGAGACACAGTTTCGGCTACCCCTTTTCAAAAAAATTCTCTCTATATATCTACCCAGCAAGGGTCAATCTCTGAAAAACATTTTTTTTTTTTGGCAATTTTTTTTGTGTGTGTGTGGGCTATCCCAATTCTAGTACTTTTTTTTTTCTTCTCTTTTTTTTTTTTCTTTTTAATTTTTTTCAATTATTGCTTTTTTTTCCTTTTATTTTTTTTTAACCCTCCTGGTGGAAAAGCGCACTTGCCAATTTGCCAAGCACTCTGGAAAGAGGGAAAGAGAAAAGTGTCACTGGCGGTGCATATCCTCCTAAGTTCAAGAAGAGATCTGGAAGTCCAAGTGGCAGAAGCAGTGGAGAAAGGACAGAGTGTGTGAGAGAGAAAAAAGAGCGAGAAAGAGCTTTTCCTGATGATGATGATGATTTTTAATTGAGAGGGAATCCCATCCAGTGCACCACAGCAGCAACAAAAAGGAGGTGTTTTTTGTTTTGTTTTTGATTTTTTTTTAAGAAGAACTCGATAAAGAAGAAGAAGAATAAAGAGGGAAAAAAAAAAGAGGAGGAAGATCGGCCCCCCAACACATCTCCCCAAACCAGTGAAGCTCTCCAGGCGATGCCAGTGTAAATGCCAGGGCAATGTCCCGTCGCAAGCAGGGAAACCCGCAGCACTTGTCACAAAGAGAGATTATCACACGTAAGTTTGAACTTGGAACCAGACGGAGCCGAAATCGAGAAGCAAAATTAGGGAAGGGGAGGAAGAGGTTGGGGGGGGGGGGAACTCCACGAGCAACCAAAGCTGGTAAATGACTTCAGAGAGAGGGAGAGGAGAAGGGAATTAAAG